TTAGGAAACACGCCAGATTACTATTCTAAGAAAAAACAGACATCTCTCCACTCTGTCACCTACATGAGCCTGACAAAGTTAACAATGGATTGTAACTGAAGAATCGAAAAGTACCAGAACCAGGAGGAGCAGCACAGATCTAATCCAACTCCCTCATTTTGTCCATGAAGACACGGAGGTCCTCAGGGGAGAGATGTCACTTGCCTAACAGCAATAGAGCAAGTCAATGGCAGAACCCAGACTAAAACCTAGGACCCCTGGTTGCATGTGACCCCCAGTGCTCTGTTCAGTAAGGCACGGCTATTCCAACATCACCAAACACTGTGTAAAATGTTCACGGGGCACAGCTTCATCGATGGGTGGAAGCCAAGGTACCTAAACCCAGGGTGAAAAACAAGGGACAGAGTGGACCAAACGGACACAGTTTTGAGAACTAGAGGAGGGTGACTGAATGGAGGAACAGAAGGAAAGGCCTGAGCAAATGCATGCAAACGCACCAATCATGTGCCATAGTTTCATTTTCTGCATGGATTTCATTTTCTTCAGTTATCTGTATTTTCTCCTTTTCTATAATAAGTATATATTGCTTTTGAAATAAATTTTAAAAGTTCGTTTGGTCACTTTATAGTGTAATGTATGTAATGGTGGCCTTTATAGTGTAATGTATGTAATAGTGTAATGTATGTAATGTATGCATGGTAGAGAAGATATGGTGGAACTGGAGATCAGACACGTGTGGGTTTCAAAAGCAGCCCTCCCACCTCCTACTGATGGGACCCTGGGCAAGTTTCTGGATCCATTCGAGCCTCTGTGTCCTCCTGTGTGAAATGATGATAGGAGTGACCTTGCAAATGTATAAACTTTTAGTGCAGGAAGAGAACATGGCACATCTGGTGTCTGGCAGATAAAAATATAAATAATAAAATTGTAAGTAGCATTCAAACCACATTTAAGTCCGGGTATATCCTAATCATGAAACTATACCTCTGCCCCTGAAAAGATTATGTCACTTCATTTCATGTTCATGTCACTGTATGCCAGTAAAACATATATGGCAATGGCACAGTAGCTAACTTTCTGGCTTCTGAAAAAGGATAAGCACAAACGTGGAAGACCAGCTTTTCCATCATCCAATGTGTCTCGTGAGGACTCTGGCTAACTGAAGCAGGTTGCTAGCTACCAAGTGCAAGCAAGGAGCACCACAACATGAAACCTATACAAATCCCCCCCCAAAAAAAAACTGCTTTCATCAATGATAATAAGTTTTTGAGAATGAACAGGGATCTCAGCACCATCATTTCACTACTCCTCTTCGCCAAGAGCTTTAAATACAGTGGAGAGGAGAAATAACTCTGGATTGAAACCAAGAGTATCTGCTCCTTTCCCAGCTCTATAATTAAATGGTGATGACCATAAGCAAGTCATTCCACCTCTACAGATCTTGGCTTCCCGTCTGTAAGATGGGATGCTTGAACCAGATGAATTTCAGCTTTAAAATCCTGTGGTCTTATCCTCACACATTTTCAAGGCCTCCTGTAGCCAGAGCCCAAGCTACCATAACACATATCACCCTCTCCCCAGCAGGCTCCATCTGCTCTGGCTGAACAATCTCTAGGCTCACTCATAGTTTCTCCTCTGCTCTGCTCTTCAGCGCATATGGGGTGTTAGGCTCTCCCTTCCACTTATCCCTTCTTGCCATCCTTGCAGACTCAACACAAGTCTCCCCCACTATGAGAAGTTGTCTCTGAACACCTCAGTCTTCCATAACTTCACTATCCTTTTAGATAGATACTGCTTAATGTGTCTTTCTAATACTTCCTGAACTAGACTGAGAAACACATGGAGGGCAGAGCTCCAAGTCTGATACCATTTTGTTATCACCCAACATTCAGAACCTTCCTTTGCTCTTTTGTAAAAGAGATACCACCATCACCTATCTCCTAGAGTTGCTGGGAAGAATAAATGAGGTATTAATGTGAAAATGTCTAGCATGACTAGAACCAATTAGGAACTCAAATATTAGCATCTTTTCTTTCCTCCGTCCCTCCTCTCTTGTCTCTCTCTCTTCCTCTGTGTGTGCATGTGTGTGTGTGTGTGGGGGGGGGGGTGGAGGGATGACTGATCTTCCCACTAGGTGTTCTACTAAAAAACACATTCATTTGGGAGATGAACACCTGGGTTGTGCTAGCAGCCTAACAGGACCTTGGGCAAGTCACAATTTCTCTACAGCTTAGATTTTTTTCAAATGAAGATACATAGTACTTGTCCTCACCTCTTATAATAGGAAGACAATATGAGATGGTACATGAGAAAGCACTTTCTTTTGAAGAGCCACCAGCATTATTATTTTTCATAAGTTCTAGTTTCAGAAAGAAAAATCTTAAAACAACGCAAGAGACAGCAAGATGTTAATGTTAACAGGTGATTTTGATGACTGTGAAAATCCCACTCTTGATACAGACTAGAATAGAAATGTCAGGAAGCTGTACTACCATTCCTTGGGGTAGAAAAGCACAGATACCAAAAAGATTAGGACACTTTCTTTTATGAACATAATCACCTAGGGCATTAAGCATCTCCCCATGCTGACATTTTCTAAGTCAAACAACATCATAAATATACCTACGAGGCTTAGTGGGCCTCAGAATTTGGGCATATCCATTTGTCAGTGTTAACTGCAAACTAATAAAAAAAGGGACATTAAAATCTTTGTATTTATTGTAAATAAACATTATTATTCTCTTCTGCATTAGAGTACACCAAAGTCAGAAGTAGGAAAAGAGAAGACAAAAAATATACTCTGCAAAATAAAGTGGTTTTTGTGTCAAAAGTTATTAACATAAGAAAGAATCATTATACATGGTGAGGATGGCAAGGATTAAAATATATACATAAAGAAAGAATTCTGTCCTAAATCATTTCTTAAAAAAATATAAGAATAGTGATCAGAAGAGTATTTTGAAGAGAAGCATATTAGAAGAAAAATATTTTTCTAATAACAACCAAAAATACATCACACATTGGTGACCAGAAAAATTTACAACTATAATTTAAGGAACTGTTTTTCTTCCATTTCAGAATGTGATCACCCAGACAGGTAGGTAAGTAGAGGTGTACTGGGTGGTGTGAGAAAAAGAGAGAGAAAATGGGTGTGTGTGTTGGGGGGTATACACTCACACATATTGGGGGAGATTTAATCTCATTTCAAATTTCTTTTAACATTAGTTTACAAAGTCAATTAAGGAATACCTATCTAGAACAGATCACTCTAACAAGAAATCATGTAAAAATGTCTTCTCTTATTTTTCTTTGTTAAACACCTAACTACATTTTTAAAACATTTCCGCTTTATTAATTTGTATAAATATGCCCTTGCCACAATTTGTAATACGTTTTATAAGTGACTGGAGATTTCACACATCAGTAATTCATACATAAAAATGTGAAGTTTGCATTAAACATCTTTAAACAAAACCTTGCTATTTTTAGAAGGAATAGGATAAAGAAAAGATAAGAGGAATCTCATTACAAAGACTGTCCTCTTGCAATGAAGGCTATTCTGTTTTGAGCAACATCCTGCTATTAAAATGGCCCTGATACCAGGACTTTAAAAGGCCTGAGTCTGGAAATACTACAATGGTTGATTGGCTTAAAAAGTAACATGTTAGAACCAGGAGAAATAGTGAATGATTCTAACTCACTGGCAACATTCCGGAACTGCTTTTTAGTACTCTTTTTGCTCCCTACTACTCTTTTACACTCCTTTGGCTACCAAGCCTCATCTCACATCATTTTTAAACCAGGACACTGTTACTACAAAGTGCAGAAACGGTCCGAGCAGCATACTACCCACATGCACTCCAAGTCACCAGTCTTTCAGGCCTGCTGTGTATGGGTACAGTAAACACATGATAGAACCTTCCTGAACGGGCACATTTTATAGCTTTTTTGGAACATACTATGACACTTACTACTTACAATGATATTTTCTAAAACTTCTCTATCACTAAAAGTAAAATTTTTAAGATGTAATGTTTGTGCAGTCTCATAGTTCAATTTCCCATTAAGAGAAAAATCACAAACAACAATCAAATGGACAAGTGATTGCAAAAAATGATTAAACTGTGAAGAAAAACACAACAGACATTTATTGAAAATAAGATTAAAGTGACTGTCATTTTATTAATGTTGTTAATAAATTATAGTTTTATAAGTAAGGGGGAAGCTCTTTGAAAATTAAGGGGGGAAAGCTGTTTTTTAAATAAGCTATTTAAAAATAAGCTTATTAAAAAAAAATAAGCCATTGACCAGTGGTTCACTTTTTTAAAAAGTCTCTTAAACTAATGATCTTTGAATTCTAATATTCATACCTGTCCAAGAAGTAGTTTATCATAATGCAAATAGCAAGGAATGTTTCGATGATTTTGTATTTTTTTAAATCTAGAAATCTATAGGAAATGCTCATTTTCTTAGAGATACCATTTTAGCCACCAAAGCAAAATGCAAGAGTATATTCAGCAGCACATCTTTTAAGTAGCAGAACACCTTTAAAAAAAGATAGGCCTAGGGTGATTTAAATTGTAAGTTAAAGTCTATGAAAAAACAGTCTATATAATACTCATAAGGCCATGGCGTCACATAATGTTACTTAATATTACTCGGTAAGGTCAAATATATTCATATTTAAAAAATTAAATAGCACTGGATTAAAACCCAACCATTCTTAATCATGGTTTGAGTCTGATAACCAAAATTAAAAATTTAATATCATGTAAACCGTATCTCACAAATTAACCAATGCAAAGCTCTAAGCTTTAAACTTCTTGACAGTGTCAATAAAATCCCCAGGAAAGGAGAATACTGCAACTCTCCTTGGAACACAAATATTTTAAAGCATGGTTAAGCAGACAGAATATTAAGAATGGCATGGTTTTTATTTTCCATAGCAGGTTTATTGATTTTTTTTTTTTTTTTGGTAAAGTTTGAAAATCTGACACTACCTGTCCACATAGAAGGGGAAACAAAACTTGGTCAAAGTCTGTAGAACTTCCTGTGGAGAGAAAAAAAGATAATTTATACATCTAATGGGACCAATAAATCTAACATTAACCATGGCACACAATCCAGCAACTTTACCCTAAAGAAAGAGGAGACAGATGAAGAAATATGGGCTTTATCAATTACATGGGAGGAGTACCAGGCAGTCAATCATGAGAAATAATAAACATGATCAAACTTCATTAAAAATGAAAAATTAATCAAGAATCACACATGGGCAAGCAGCAGGAGCCATGCAGGAAAGCTCTGAAGGGAGGGAGGCGGGTGGGTTGCTGAGTGTTAACACCCCTCCAGGGACCATCTCCAGCCTGACCATATGGATCAGAGTGAATAACACTGAGCCACATGGGTTTGGCCTGGCAGGGCTGCTGTTGCTGGCACCGTTTTTGCCTGTTACCTAGGAACAGAGGGGGCCAGGATTAGACAACACTTGCTTCCCAACATCAGTGGGCTAAAGCACAAGCAGAATAGAAAGCCAACTTTAAGTTAATTGTCCCTGAACACAGTCAACTACATTTTTTTAGTGTAAAACTTCACTTACTTACTTCATAAAGAAGTTGAGATTTCTGGCACAAATTTATTTTGTAACCAAACTGTAACCATTTTAAGTATGCACTATTTTTAGTTAAATGTCATCATAATTGGACACACTTACCTGCTTGTAATTTATGAAAATCCAAAGCAAACTACCGGTTTAAATCTTTTAACAAATATGTAGGTACATAAAACCAAGCACGTTTTCCAGGAGACATATACAAAAAGGGAACAAAAGCATTTTTTTTTTACCAGAGTGACATTTCAAAGACTTATTCATAAAAGAGAAGCTTCTCGCATTAAGCAAAGCACACTACTGTATGAGACATAATACACAGCGGGGTGTGACTTTTCCCAATGGACACGTTTCATGTGTATAGCATCTATACGCACAGCTAAACATATATGCAAGTAATTAATTATTACTTCCTTCATAGGACTTTCTTTAGCTTGTCTTAATTTAACTGCAGACTTAGCCCACAGTCAGTGCTTAAGTTCACAGACCAATGTTATAAATTTTAAAAGAGTATTTCTTTCATGCATTTGATTTGCTTTCTAACTATTCAAAATCCCAACTTCAAGACAAAATGAAGAACACATTTTTCAGTCATGGAGAAGCTGGTTCAAATTAAAACAAACTTGCCCTCTGCAAATCCTAATCCAAGTGATAAATTAAAGATCAGTTTACAAATGTAGCACTTTTCTAACCAATAATAATGAATTATCAATGCTAACTGAATTGATGCTTTTTGCTTCATTTATTTTTAAAACCAGTTCTATCATTCAAGAAATAAACCAATCAATCTAATAACCCACTCAATGAAGCAGAAAGTACACTGACTTGTTCTGCCAGAGCATATTCCACCTACATAATTCAGTTGAGCATATCCTTTTTTCAATATTGTCTTAGACTGATACTATGTACATATATATTACAGCACTGTTAAGGCATGTTGTGAAATAAGGAATAGAAAAAAAATTTTTTAAGGTGACTAAGGATACCTCAGCACATTCTAAGAGGCATTGCTGACACATAGCTAAATTCATAATGTGGCATTCATGACACATTGTTTGAATGCTCATATTTAAATAAGTTGTAATTACTAATAAAGAATCAAAAGAGCAAGGGCAATTTCTCAGTGTGCAATGTTCTTATCTGGCAAATATTGGAAAAGAGATCATATAAATCATTCATTTTAATGTCTGCAGTTTCAATTATAAAATATACTAAAACCCACATACACAAAACTTACATGGTGTACATGCAAAAAAATTCCTTACATATTTCCTTTCACTTCAGGTTTCAAATACCACAAAATATCTCTTGACTTCAGTGTATGTACCAAGCATTCTTTAAAACTCAATACTAATGCTCCCTCATTGCCAAATTCACCCACAAAGACAGTTATCCTTTACTCCTCAAAAGTTACAGGTGCAAAAGTGCTTCCCTTCGCTATGCTGGAGTTGAGCAGCCAAAAAGCCTCACAATTTTTGAAAGAAAAGACCCCCATGGCTACAAGAAAGCATCGTACTCTACAGCAGGGTCAAAGGAATCTAATATGCTCAACTTATTACTCACTACAATACAGAAACTACTTAACCACTTTCTAATGTCAAGAGTAATAACCAACTGTGAACTTGTCAGATAATATTAGAACAAATATTAAAATACCCAATGTAGAAAAAAAAAAAAAAAACCCAATGTAGGCTGAGTATAACCTACCTCCCAAGAGCTTTCCTTTTTACCCAAGAAAGCAGTGGTAAGTCTAATTAAGCATTGGGGCATGGTGGGGCGGGGGGGAGAAGAAGGAAGGAAATACAGGCAAGTGTAGGCACACATTTGTGCATTATAATGTTTCCTTATGTTTATGATATTATAAGAGCTTGATATTCCAATTTAAGTCAAATAAAATGGTAGTGTGCTGTCAAAGGAGAAAACAAAATGAGCACCTACTTTGTGTTAGAAACGGTCATACTCAGTCCAACCTGAAAAATTTACTTCTTGGTTTAGAAATGAAAGTACAGGAAGAGGGAGGGAAAAAACAAGCAATGTTTCTTGTCAATAAAAACTGCTGAAATGAACAAATTTTCTTAATACTGATGCTTTGTCTATATACAAACATCTAACTACCTTACCCTCTTTTTCCAAAGAAAAACACAATTACTTGAATATGAAAAGTACCACTCTCCAAGAACCCTGATTTAAACATATTTTGAAGCATTATATTTATAGCAGTGTCTTTCAGCATTAACTTTACTGGTAAATGACTTTACTAGTCATTAACCAGTTACCAACCCCTCTTTCCTCTAGAAACTGTGTCTTTGGCTAAGAAACTCTCCTTGTAGATGATAATTTTTCTGTTTTCTCTCCTCTTTCTCTTGCCTATACAAGCTCTCTCAGATGATCTCCGCTACTGCCACATAAATCGGATCTTCAAGATGCAGTACAGCTGATGAAATGTAAATGACCTCATTGCTAAGGCAGGGGGTGGGAAAGATTGTGCCAGCTCTCCAAATCAATTCCCAAGTTTATATTTTCACAAATCTTTTTATGTACAGTTTGATTTTTTAACATTTTAATGAGCAGAAAAAAGTGAATCTATAGTAGCCAGTCACCACAGTTAAAGTGCAGGGCATGAACTAGATCCCAGGAGGGAACCAGTCCACCATGTCACCACTGGCTTTAGGACATTCGCCACCTGGTTCCATGTCCCCAGGTTCCAACTCTTTTCATAATCAAAACACTGCTGACATTATAAACCCCAGACGGGTTTTCTAAAATCCCTCCCAATCAATATATCCAACACATAACTTATTGGAGACAACATCGAGCTCATTGATTAAGGTGAGTTCAGTAGCAAAGTTTTCAAAATAAATGAGACAAGAATATAGCATCCAACTCCTTTGTGTCACCAGACAATTTATGAAATAGGCAATTTCCAAAAGGGCTTTTTTTCCTAACAAAATATTCAATACTTCATGTGGGAAGAAGTAAGAGCAGAGGGGTAAGGGGAAGGTGGATGACAGGCAGTCACATAAACCTTTCAGTGATGCATATATTAAACAGCAGATTGCACAGGGCAGTAGAAAAGCATCAACATCTTCAAAGCTCTGCCCACAAAGAGATAACTAAGCCTCAGACTACGAAATCAACATACCTAACACTGGAGTCACTTGTAAATAAAAATAAAAAATGAACTCAAGATTCATTGCCATCTTTTTTGGATTCACTTCATCCAATTTGAATTCTCTCCCAGTCAAAAGGCCCATTCAAGGGAATTTACTGCAATCTGAAAAAAGTAGATTGTTTTTGCTGAAACTCAGCCGTTGTCTTAAAAACCTGGGAAAGCTTTAAAAATGTGTAATATTATTCATCTTAGAATCCAATCTGAAAGCAAAACTTTGAAAACTAAATTTGACATAGTTAACTGGGATTATTAGTAATAAGAAGGCTAAATTAATTCACCCTGAATTTGGGGTACAGGGTAGGGAGGGTGTAAGAGATCCTGCAACAGCCATCAGTTCAGATGTCAAATACTTTGTTTTCACTGCTTCACTGAAATCTATAAACAAAAATTAGCTGTATTTGGCAGATGAAAACGACTAACAGACACAGACATACACACCCCACAAATAAATGCCATCTGAAAAACAAAAGCACAGGCTGATTATAATGTCCACTGGGGTTACAGAATGTTAGGAGATGAGGCATGTTCTCAATAGTTCAAAAGGAGAAAGAAAATTGTGCAAGAAAACATTTAAATAAAGAAAAGAGATAGCTTGAATAAATGAATAGATTTTAAAATATTTAAAGCTACAATCAGCCTCTGTGTAGCTTGCTGAAAACTAGTATAGTAGTCGATAATTTACCTTTGTCCAAAAAGTGAGTGAAGGAGAAAGAGGTGAGGAGATGGTAGGAGAAAATTTCCTGAGTTTCCTACATCTAATTTATTTGTTCATTTCAAAATGCAAATGTGGGATGAAAAGATCAGTGGAGCTCAAATTCCTAAAATACTCCATTTCTATGCTCAGACATTTTTTAATAGCATGAGGGAAATGCTGACCCTCTAAGTCCTGCAATTGAGATCAGTGCTACTGACTTAAAAGAAAAGCTGTTGATTGATGATCTTAAAATTCAAGTTGAAAGTTAAAAACAGAACACACGCAAAATCCAAACATACAAAAAGCTAACTAAATTTCAACTTTAGGCCATTTCGAGTTAAAACCAGGGACTCCAAGTGAAAGCTACCAGAGGTTTTAACGCTTATGATTAAGAAGGAAAAAACAGAATGGTAAGAAGTTCTTAAAAGCTTAATTAGCACCCAGTTCAGGAATGTTGATCAGAAATTTCCTAAATATGAAAACAGGAAATATAATTTTTCTCCTTCCCTATAAATGTCAAGTTAAATCCAAGATCCATACTATAACTACAGCCAAACTTTTTACTTTCATTGACAA